TGTTTGTCTTTTTGCGACTGGGTTACCTCACTCAGGATCACTTCCTCCAGTGCCATCCATTTACCTGTGAATTTCAAGATTTTTTTCTGCTGAGTAATACTCCATTGTGTCAATGTACCACATTTTCTCCACCCACTTTTCAGTTGAGGGGCATCTAGGTTGCTTCCAGTTTCTGGCTATTACAAATAATGCTGCTATGAACATAGTGGAGCAGATGCCCTTGTTGTATGAATTTGCCTCATTTGGATATATGCCCAAGAGTGCAATTACTGGGTCTTGCGGTAGATTAATTCCCATTTTCCTGAGGAATCTCCACACTGATTTCCAAAGAGGCTGTACGAGTTAGCACTCCCACCAGCAGTGGAGTAGAGTTCCCCTCTCTCCACATCCTCTCCAGCATAAATTGTCTTCCGTGCTTTTGATTTTAGCCATTCTGACAGGAGTAAGATGGTATCTCTGAGTTGTTTTGATTTGCATTTCCCTGATGGCTAAGGATGTTGAGCACTTTCTTAAGTGTCTCTTGGCCATTTTAGACTCCTCTGTTGAGAATTCTCTATTTAGATCTGTACCCCACCTTTTAATTGGATCCTTTGGTGTTTTGGAGACTTGTTTCTTGAGTTCTTTGTAAATTTTGGAGATTAGCCCTCTGTCAGATGTGGGGTTAGTGAATATCTTTTCCCATTCTGTGGATTGCCTTTTTGTCTTGTTGACTGTGTCCTTTGCCTTACAGAAGCTTTTTAGTTTCAGGAGGTCCCATTTGTTAATTGTCGATCTCAGTGTTTGCGCCACTGGTGTTATGTTTAGGAAGTGGTCTCCTGTTCCAACTCGTTGAAGAGTATCTCCCACTTTCTCTTCTAAAAGTTTCAGTGTGGCTGGATTTATGTTGAGCTCTTTGATCCATTTGGACTTAAGTTTTGTACAAGGCGATAAACATGGATCTATCTGCAGTCTTCTGCATACCACTACCCAGTTATGCCAGCACCATTTGTTGAAGATGCTTTCTTTTTTCCATTGTACAGTTTTAGCTTCTTTGTCAAAAATCAAGTGTTCATAGGTGAGTGGGTTAAAATTAGGTTTTTCGATTCGGTTCCATTGGTCTACCTGCCTATTTTTGTGCCAATACCAAGCTGTTTTCAGGACTATAGCTCTATAATAGAGCTTGAAGTCAGGTATGGTGATGCCTCCTGAAGTTCCTTTATTGTATAGGGTTGTTTTGGCTATCCTGGGCCTTTTGTTTTTCCATATAAAGTTGATTAATGTTCTTTCCAGGTCCTTGAAGAATTGTGATGGAATTTTGATAGGGATTTCATTGAATCTGTAGATTGCTTTTGGCAAGATTGCCATTTTTATTATGTTGATCCTACCAATCCAAAAGAGCATGGGAGATCTTTCCATTTTCTGGTATCCTCTTTGATTTCTTTCTTTAAAGACACAAAGTTCTTGATATACAGGTCTTTCACTTCCTTGGTTAACATTATCCCCAGATATTTGATGCTGATTTTGGCTATTGTAAAGGGTGATGTTTCTCTGATTTCTTTCTCAGTCACTTCATCATCTGTATATAATAGGGCCACTGATTTTTTTTGTTTACCTTGTATCCTGCCACATTGCTGAAGGTGTTTATCAGCTCTAGGAGTTCCCTTGCGGAGTTTTTTGGGTCACTTACATAAACAATCATATCATCTGCAAATAGTGAAAGTTTGACTTCTTCTTTTCCTATTTGTATCCCCTTTATCTCCTTTTGTTGTCTTATTGCTGTAGCTAGAACTTCAAGTACAATATTGAAGAGATATGGAGAGAGTGGACAGCCTTGTCTTGTTCCTGATTTTAGAGGAATTGCTTTGAGTTTCTCTCCATTTAGTTTGATGTTAGCTGTTGGTTTACTCTATATTGCTTTTATTATATTCAGGTATGTTCCTGTTATCCCTGATCTCTCTAGGACCTTTATCATGAAGGGGTGCTGGATTTTGTCAAAGGCTTTTTCAGCATCTAGTGAGATGATCATGTGGTTTTTCTTTCGCAGTTTGTTTATATGATGGGTTACATTGATAGATTTTCTAATGTTGAACCATCCCTGCATTCCTGGGATGAAGCCTATTTGATCATGGTGGATGATTTTTCTGATGTATTCTTGAATCCAGTTTGCGAATATTTTATTGATTATTTTTGCATCGATGTTCATGAGGGAAATTGGTCTATAGTTCTCTTTCTTATTTATGTCTTTGTGTGGCTTGGGTATCAAGGTAATTTTAGCTTCGTAAAAAGAGTTTGGCAGTGAGCCTCCTGCTTCTATTTTGTGGAATACTTTGAGGAGTGTTGGAATTAGCTCTTGTTTGAATTTCTGGTAGAATTCTGCACTGAAGCCATCTGAGCCTGGGCTTTTTTTTTGTTTGGGAGACTTTTGATGACTGCTTCTATTTCATTAGGGGTTATAGGTCTGTTTAGATTGTTTATCTGCTCTTGATTTAGTTTTGGCAAGTGATATCTATCCAGGAAATTGTCCATTTCCTTTATATTTTCAAATTTTGTGGAGCACAGATTTTCAAAGTATGCCCTGATGATTCTCTGGATTTCCTCAGAGTCCGTTGTTGTGTCCCCTTTTTCATTCCTGATTTTGTTAATTTGCATGTTCTCTCTCTGTCTTTTGGTTAGTTTGGACAGAGGTTTGTCTATTTTGTTGATTTTCTCAAAGAACCAACTCTTTGTTTCATTGATTCTTCTCAGTGTTTTCCTGGTTTCTACTTGATTGATTTCCTCCCTCAATTTGATTATTTCCTGGCATCTGCTCCTCCTGGGTGAGTTTGCTTCTTTTTGTTCTACAACATTCAGCTGTGCTATTAATTCTCTAGTATGACTGTCCTCTAGTTTTTTCATGTGGGCACTTAGTGCTATAAACTTTCCTCTTAGCACTGCTTTCAAAGTGTCCCATAAGTTTGTGTATGTTGTGTCTTCATTCTCATTGAAATCGAGGAAGTCTTTAATTTCTTTTTTTATTTCTTCCTTTACGCAGGGATGGTGCAATTGTGCATTGTTCAATCTCCATGAGTTTGTAGGGTTTCTGCGATTTGTGTTATTGTTGAATTCTAATGTTAATGCATGGTGGTCTGATAAGATGCAGGGGGTTATTCCAATTTTTTTGTATCTGTGGAAATTTGCTATGTTTCCTATTATGTAGTCAATTTTAGAGAAGGTTCCAGTGGTGCCGAGAAGAAGGTATATCCCTTTGTATTTGGGTGGAATGTTCTATAGATGTCTGTTAAACCCAGTTGGGTCATAACTTCTATTAGTTCTTTTATTTCTTTGTTAAGTTTCTGTCTGGAGGTCCTGTCTAGTGGTGAGAGCGGAGTGTTGAAGTCTCCTACTATTAGTGTGTGAGATTTTATGTGCATTTTGAGCTTTAGTAGTGTTTCTTTCACAAATGTAGGTGCCTTTGTATTTGGGGCATAGATGAGACTTCATCTTGATGTACTTTTCCTTTGATGAATATGAAGTGTCCTTCTTCATCTCTTTTGATTGATTTTAATTTGAAGTCTAGTTTGTTAGATATTAGGATTGCTACACCCGCTTGTTTCTTGGGACCATTTGATTGGAAGATCTTTTCCCAACCCTTTACTCTGAGGTAACGTCTGTCTTTGATGTTGAGATGTGTTTCTTGTATGCAGCAGAAGGAAGGGTTCTATCTTTGTATCCATTCTGCTAGTCTGTGTCTTTTTATAGGCAAGTTGAGGCTGTTGACATTGAGGGATATTAATGACCATTGATTGATGATTCTTGTTTGTACTTGATTTATTGTTAGTGAAGTTATTTTGTGTAGTTTCTTCTCCCTTTTTCTTTTGGTGTTTTGTAGAGTGGGATTATATCTTGCCTGTGTCTTTTTGAATGTAGTTATCTTCCTTGGATCTAGGTTTTCCTTCTAGTACTTTCTGTAGAGCTGGATTCCCCAACCCCATGCCTCAGCATGGCCTTCCCCACATGACTCACTTGAGCCCAGGAACCATGTTCCTCTCCTCTAAGCCCCAACTGAGGCACCTTCCTTCATGTTCCTATTGAATGTTTCAGAGCTATTGCTTTTCCATGATTTTTCCTCCACTGTGCCTTCCAACTACCTGTTGCTGGGCTGTAAGTATTCTCTGTGCAGCTGCCATGTACCTTAGGACATCTATCAATCTGGCAGACTGCCAAGGGAGCCAACATTTTCGTGAATGCTTACCCAATGCCAGATTTAATGTGTTTACTTTTCGTAGCAGTTCTGTAAGTCTGTCAGAGACTACACTAATTATTGAAAGAGGGAATGTCATGTTTAGAAGTGGAAACAGGCCCTGAAATAAAACTTAAGTCAGAAGTTACAGAGGGTGACTAACAGTGTGGTGCTTGAAGAGCAGAGAGGAGAGGTGAAGAGAACTCAAAATCACACCCTTGAGGTCACCAACGTTAGAGGCGGCAGCTCTAGACAGAGAAGTAGGAGCTGTGGAGCATATTGTGAGTGTTGGGAAATCTGTGTCATGGATTATTGAAAGGAAGGAAGTACCAATGGTGGTGGGAGAAGGAGGCCAAGTGATGTTCTCAGTACCAGGAACCCCCAGAGAGAAGCCATGTCTCCCCTCCTCGTGCCCAAGTGTCCTTCTCCTGGACCGTCTGCATCACCAAAGAGTTCCTGATCAAAGGATCCCAGCCTCTGCATTGCAGAGCTGGAGGATCCCAGAGATGAAAGTCTAATAACAGCATACACAAGTACTGTGAATGTACCTGTGACACAGAATAAGGGAACTTCCCATGATTAAATGACAGCTTATGACAGAAGCAAGATTTGATCCATCACCAGCACTGGTTCCCTACCACTCTGCCAAAAATGTAGAAGGAATGAATGAATGGATGGATGGATGGATGGATGGATGGATGGATGAACTGCAGACCCATGATCATACGTCTTCTAGCCCCAAGCCATGGAGTCCTGTGCTGTTTGGCCATCACAATCTGTCAGTCTCTTTTCTGCCCTTCAGGTCATCCACTGGAACTCCCCCAAGAAGCTCCGTGTGAAGAATAAACACGTAGAATTCTTCCGAAACCTCTACCTGACCTTCCTGGAGTATGATGGCAACCTCCTGCGGCGGGAGCTGTTTGGCTGTCCCAGCGAGACAGATGTCAACAGTGAAAATGTAAGTGTTCTACAAATAGTGGGAGAGATTGGCCACATTCTCCTTTGTCTGTTTTAGAAAATATTTGAGTTCTGCAGTCACCTCAGGGCTGGACCCTGAGGAACACCTTACCTGTCATGGAATCCATGGCCCAATAAGGCAATGATCAGATCATCTGGTCACTTCCTGTGGATCAATATGAACTTGGAAGGAGACATTAGCTCACCTGAATGGGTCAGAGTGAGTTTCCAGGCAGAAGGATCCATCAAGTTTGCATTGTCTGCCTCATGATCAGTAAATTCCCAAGCTTGTGATGAAGGCATACATATTGGGTGGAGCCCAGGGTGACAGAGAAGGAGACTTCTATAGGTCCTGACTCCTTCCCAGTTGGTTTGGGCAAGGAAAGTATTGAATAAAGAGTTACAGGAATAGCTTGAGATGTTGTGCACTCTTTTTGCTATTGCTATTTCCTATTTTTTCATATGCTATAGCTCATTTTTGTTCATTGAGTACTTGTTTTACTATTGAAAAAGTTCAAGTAGAAACATTAAGCAAGTTGCCCATAGTAACAGAGCAAGCAATGATGCTGCCTGTGACCAACACTGAACTCTTTAGAATACAGGAAAAAAGCATGGTAGCCACAGGCAACAGGAACAAGTTCAAGCTGACCTGAGTTTAACTCTATTACGTTTGTTGACACAAAAAAAATCCACAGGTCTCATCTTAAAGGGAATAAAATATTGTTTATTGTTCTTGAGTCATTTTTAGTTTCCATGGACCAGGAACACAGATTTATGTCACCCCAACTTCCATGTTCCAATGAACAAGCAGTTTTATGAAGTTTTACAAATTCACAGAGCAAAAATAATTAATAGCCAATGCTACATAGCAATGACTAGTGGGAAGCCAGGCAGTTTCTTCTTTGAGGAGCAGCCAACAGATGAGAAGGTAAAAGTGGCACTGAATCCTAAATGACAAGAAAGCCAACTGGAGAAGACATACCTGGTGCAAAGGCACAGAGGTTTGGAGAGCAGGGTAGGGACTAGTGGGTGAGAGAGAGAGAGGAGGACACAGCAGGTAATAGCCAGATGGACGGACATGTGAGCTGACAAAGGTCCTTTGGAAACTAAATGAAAAAATATCTGAATCTAGAATCTCCCTCCGTGACTGGCAAGACTTTAATAGCTGTCTTAGATGTTCTGAGAGGTCTTTTAGGCTCCTTGAGAAGGTCAGGAGACCTTCCTGGCCTTTGATGGAGTAACTGATCACAGTGAGGTTGCTACTTGCTCCAGCTCCTCTCCTTGTTCTCCTAGACTCCTTCTCAGTCTCTACGTTCACTGCTGGCAATGGCAAAGGGAAGCCAGAGAGCACCTGAATGTCTCAGGCTCTGAGAAGCACAGTTTCCATTCACCCTATTTCCCTCAGCTTTTCTCTTAGTTCAAATCAGAGATTGTTCTCATTACTGTTGGTAAATGCCTGTTTGGAGTTTTCTCCCAAATGCCCAGTGCAAACTCTCTTTTCCATCACTTCCCATCTGTGTCTGTCTACCCATTCCTGAGTTCTCAGTGTTAACCTTAAGTGCCTCAAAAGCTATCTGCCTCCTCCTTTTCCTGCAGCCAGAGGATGAAGCTCTTCTCAGAACCTGAAACTGTATTTGATTGTTCATTATGTATATGTAAAATCTAAGAGGTTGGCAGAGCTCTGTGGTAGATATTAGACACTGAATCATATGCAAGCTGCCACTGAACGACTCCTGGTGAAGCAGGGAAGCCGGACTCTTTAGGTCCTGCTCTAAGCACTTACCCCCCCCCCCCGGCCTTTCTCCACCAAGTGCCATGTACCAGCTACACTCCCCATTGGCCCTGTATATGTGTACTTTCCCACTGCCTTGTCTCTGCCTCCTATGTTTAAATGTTCTCATTTAAATAGAGACCCAGAGTAACCCCTTAAGTCAAATTAGTCAAATTCTGTGACACATCTCCTTTTCTTTCCATCAGAGCATACACTACTATCTGCAATTACATAGACTTCTTCTTTCATAGTTTTTCCCACCCCAAATATCAGACTTCTAGGTTGGACATTTTGAAGCTTTGAACCATTGTCCTTTCAAATCCACTCCTCCAGAACCAGGCACATGGTAAATGCTCACGGAATGAATGTAGTAAACAATTATAGAGAGAAGAAAGCACCAGGTAAAAGGAAATGCAAGTAAGTAAACAGGCAGAGGCAGAAAGCAGTGTGGTGTTGACTAATGTTCCACAGTATTGTTTGCTGCAAGCTGCAGCATAAGGGCTTTGGTTGGGTTGGGAGTTTGGGCTAAAGCCAGATGATTTTATAGGTTTGCTTACATTTGCATTTGACAGAAGTCAATGCAGAGAACAGAATAAAAGAGATAAGACTGGAACAGAGACTATGCTCCTGTCCAGGTAAAGACACGATAATGGTGTTGAACTTGGCCAGGAGCAGCAGGAATGGAGAGCTCAGTTGAATTTATTTGTAGATTCTAAGGACAGGAGGGGAATGAAAAGTTAGCACTCATGAAGGCAGGAGGTCATCCAGACAGGCAGGTGCCTTTGTTAGCTAAATTGGAAGCAGAGTCACCCACCAGTGACAGGGGCTGCATGGTGAAATCATCTGTAGACATTGCACTCCTAGTGACCCAGCTCTTTGGGAAGCCCAGCCACCTCGTCCTCTGCAGCATGGCATAGGTGAGGTAAAAAAACAATTGGGCAGAGTGAAATCCAGGGTCCTGTCCAAAGCTGATGCTTTGAACTGTAGGAAGAGGTCGTCAGAGCTGGAACAGTGCACAGATGGCTGTGAGAATGGAGTAAGCAGCCAAAACCCACTTTGCTTGACCTTCAGTCTCCTGATGGAAACGGGTTCCATGGCAGACTATACAGACCTCGAGATTGAATCCTCCACCCTGTGGATGCTCACCGAGTTGACAGATACAAGACTAGTGATTTCACAGAGCTTGTCTCATAGGGAATGCAGACAGGTTTCACAGGATGGCAAGTGCCGGCATGATGGTAGTGCTCTGAGGGTTCATGGGAAAACAGGCATGACTAAGAGTTTCAGTGGGAGGGATTTACTGAAGGAAGTGAGATTTCTAAAAATGTATTTCCCCCAATATTTGTAAATGAAACTAGAGTGTCATGCATGCTAGGCAAACATCCTATGACTGCACCCCCAGTCTCTTTGTTTTGCTAAGTTTGACTTTTGTTTTAAGATGTAAAGTTTTGCTTGTTTCCCAGACTGGCCTTGTGCCTACTTTGTAGTCCAGGCTAGACCAGAACATGTGATTCTTCTGCTTGCCAAGTAGTAGGATTGCAGGCATGCAGCACCAGACATAGTCAGGAGCTCAGATCTGAAGATTGGATAACTAGCAGTGTGTACTATATAAGAACACACAGTAGAGACCAGGCAGACATGCATTGTAAAGGGTGTCACGTTCATGACTGCTCAGCTGGTTCTTCAGAGGTGATGATGAGGGTGTGAACCCTCCAGAGATTAGCAACCTTCATTTCTTAGACGCACAACCTCAGCAAAGTCCCACAAATGCTCTTAGCCCCAGTGTTTGGCATCTGATCAATGGTAAAGGGCTGTCTTTTCTGAGTGTTTCTTGGCACAACATCCAAAGAGGCCTTGGTTGCAGGAACACTGCATGCATTAATATTTAACTTTTGGCTGAAGGGGACTGTCTTTCTGTGAATAGACATCAGGTTTAATTAACATGTCTACTGGAGGAATGACTGAAAAACAAACCTGTGGAGTCCCTTAGAAGTCTCTCTATAAAGCATACAAATTGTGTCACCTTAGCAGGAAGAATGGGTCATTTGACTGTTCCTGGTACTGAAACCAAAAATAATAAATAAACAAACAAATAAATAAATAAATGGAAGTAAGTCAGCTCAGGGTGTCTTAGTTAGAGTTACTGTTGCTGTGATGAAACTCTATGACAAAAAGTAACTTGGGGAGGAAAGGGTGTATTTGGCTTATATTTCCATATCATTGTTCATCATCAAAATCAGGGCAGGACTCAAACAGGGCAGGAACCTGGAGTCAGGAGCAGATACAGAGGTCACAGAGGGTGCTGCTTACTGACTTGTTCCCCATGGCTTCCTCATCCTGCTTTCTTATAAACCCAGAGGTGGCAGCACCTACAATAGGCTTCCCACTCCCATCAAACACTCATTAAGAAAATGCCCTGCAGGCTTACCTACAACCTGCTCTTACAGGACCACTTTCTCAAATGAAATTCCCTTATCTCAGATGACGCTACCTTGGGTGAAGTTGACATAAAACTAGCCGGTTCAAGAAGTAGCAAGGAGCTGGGTCATAAGGAGCACAGCATCCAGCCAGGGGACTGCCTATATGACAAAACAGTTATGCCTAATAGCTGGCATCTGTCTCTGGAACCAGTGAATTCATTTACATAATGCAGTGATTCATAACATACATGGCTACCTGTAGTTATTTAGGAGCAGGGATGGAGATGAGAATTCTTGACCTTATCGTTTCTTTCCCTCTTCTATTGCCACCTATCCCCCAGGCATATCCAGGAAACAAACCCTGATTGATGCTCCATGGAACAAAGCTGGTGAGAGCTACTGTTGTTCTCTGCATCTTGCTGAAATCCTCAAAAGACAGGGATCTCACCACCTCCCGGGCAGATTCTCCACTGTAGGCCCTCTCTAGATGAGAAACTTTCCCTCCTTTTAACTTGAAAGCAGCCCCTTTACAATGAACCCATCAACCAGAGTCCTGTCCTCCAGAGCAGTTAAACCTCAGGGCAATCTAGCCTTGCATTGATCATAGCATGTCTCCCTATTGCTTGTCAGTCCAGAACATGCAGTTCTTCTTAAGAACTGCACATTACAATAAGTATCTCTTATCAAGAAAGCTTTGCTTCATCCAGGAGTTTGCTGACAAAAGAAGCTTGCCTTTTAAAAATGCTTGAAATAGCTAGATATTACCAATTTAGATGGAACCCAGTAAAGGACATGCCCTTACATTAGTAACTAAAATAAACTGAAGCAGTTTATAATTTTTGGTTGCTCCCTGGAGGCTGAAGAGGACAGAGGATTGGTCAGAGGAAGGATACCATCTATTCAGACACAAAATAGCCTAGAACCATGGGCTGCTAGTTCTGCACATTCTTTTCTGACAACTATCACTTGCAGTTTATCAGCCTCAGGAATAGACCTGTTTGCATTCACTTCCCTGGCAGCCAAAACAAAACAAAACAAAACCTATACATGCAAAGGCCTTTATTTCAGAGAGACCCATGGTAAAGGAGTTATCCACTGTTAACAGCAAAACAGGAAAAAATACTAGATACCAATGATTTAGGACTTTGCATGCAGTTATGGGCAGCGGTCAGCACCTGCAGACAGCATTCTCATCCATGGCCACAGCAGATGTCAGTAGTTGGTAACTGCGCTCCTTCCACGTCAGCACACTGGGCCATCCATTTCTGTCTCCTACGAGTGGTGGAACTATGAAAGGCTGCCGGGCACCCCATGATTGAATCTCTGGCGTTACAGAAGCTGTTTGTGCTCCTCCAGGAGCTCTATCCTCTTTCTAATAATTTTGGGAGCTTAGGTTTCCTTCAGGGAATGAAAAGGAAACTATAGCTGTTATCTTATCCACAATGAGAAAGAAATCTTTTAAGGCTTGTTCCATGTGCCACAGGATTGAAGTCATACAACTCCCAAATGATAAGACCAGCATTGTGCCTAGGTCTACCTAAGGCCAAAACTCCAAAGTAGGATGGTACTCCCCTGTGGAGGTGGAGATTTAGACATGACATGATGATGACAACTCACTCCCCATTTATTTCTCTTAGGATTTCTTACTCTGAACCCTGCAAAGCATTCATTACTGGTTCCATTTTTTAGAGAAGGAAATGGAGACTTAGAGAGTTAAAAATCACAGAACAGGGTGATGGCTGACTGAAAGATGATATCAAGCTCTCATCTACATCAGTCCCTGACCCTTCAATTGTTAAAAGTATCCCCCAATCACACTCCTCCTGTCATGACCTCACTTCCATGGTCCCTTTCTATTTTTCCTCATAGCGTTTGCACCAATTGATATACTCATGGCATCCGTGTGTGTGTGTGTGTGTGTGTGTGTGTGCTGTCTGTCTGTCTCTCTGTCTGTCTGTCTGTCTGTCTGTCTCTGTGTATTCGTGTATGTCCACATGTATACACCACCAGGGGTCAACATTGGTGCATCCTCCACCATTTCTCAGTTTATCTTTGAGGATAGTCTATCATTGAACCTGGTGCTCACCAATTGGTTGCAGCGGCTGGTCAGTAAGTTTCAGGGATCCACCTGCCTCATCCTTCTAGTACTATAGTTACACATGTATGTAATCATGCAAGACTTTTTTGTTTTGATGTGTGAACCTAGGATTTGAATTTGGGTCCTCATGCTCACATTGTGTGGGAAAAAATAATTTTGTGTCATACAAAGCAAAAGAAACTTGGCAAAGCAGTTTGTTTTGGCAAAATAAAATATGCACCATGATTCAAATCAGGCTACACTGAGACAGGACGTTCATTAAGTTTCCACTGTAACAAAGGAGGTGTCTGGGACTCATCTCATTAGTGAGTGCTCAACCTTTCAATCTGATTCAGTTGTATAATTGGTGGTATGTCATGACCACCTCAACCAGCAAGGAAGATGCGACTCAGTAATCCTTCTCACAAGCGGTTTATTCAGGGCCCTGATGAACAATGTGGAGGCAGCCGCGGGAGAAACCCCTCCTTCTCCCTAAATAGCCGAGGCCAGCCAACTCTGAACAGCCACGTGTGCGCAAGCCATAGGCTCAGTAGCATGCGTAAGCCGTCTGATGATCATGGCGTGATCCTGGCAGGATGGGAGCAGGCCAAATAAGGAGTTGTTTGTTACCGAGAGCACTCACCGTTGGGATGGTGAAGGCGGAAGCCGGCGCCATCTTTAAGGCGCAGCATGGTGCAGCTCTCCACAGTGGTAGGGAAAGGGTGTGAGAGAGTCAAATAACAATAAATCTAAAAGAAGTACATTACAAGATAGAGGGGTTTTATGGAATATTGAGCCTTGGTGGGAGAGCTACCTTTAATAGGAAAAAAAGCGTTTCCCAATGTAAGAAGCACATTATCCACTCCATTTCTCCAGCCCCAATTCATGACGCCAGCTTTGCTTTTTCTCCTTCAGAATATCTGCAACTATGAACAGAGTGCCTGCCAACCATTTATTAATTATTCTTGTTAACTATAAGAACTGTAACAGTTATTTACCTGAGATGTACATTTGCCAGAATGATTCTAGAGTATGGCATGAAGAAATCTAGCCCCTTATAGACCTATATCTTGAGTGAAACTCCATCTTCATATGAGCTTCTGTTTTTCACCTGTAAAATAGTCATTAATTTAATCCATGAAGGCCATGTTTAGAGGGCTAAAAGTTAAGGTGTCCCCGGGACTAAGTTCTGTTACAGGAAGTTCTGGTTATGTGAGTTGGGAAAAGCTTATCTGAGACACCAGTCCCTCTGAGGTCTTACATCACATCATCTCTGAAATGAAGAAGGCTTACAAGTTCAGATCCCTTATTCTGTGAAGGTGATAGACTGGCCATCTGCGAAGCTCTGTCCCTGATATTAAGCCCACTAGGAGGAAAAGTCAGCAGCAGCAGCGTGGCTCACTTGGAAGTTAAAAATAAGGCACATATAAACAGATTCTATAAACACTTTGTGATGTCATTCTGCTCACCACTGACAAGGAACAGATGGCTTGTGTGGAAACATCTGTACCCCAGAGAAACCCCGAGGGAAATCTGAATGTGCTACTGTACCTGAGCCAGCAGATTGTCAATCACACAATTGCAACAGAGCCCAGTATGGACAGCTCTCGGAGCCCTAAAGATAAGTTCAACAAGGGTTCCCCAAAGCCTTAAAAATCACAGTGTAGCTAGTTAGATCAGAGGAGGAGATGAAAAGAAGAACCTAGGATTGGAGACTCTGTTGACAGATATCTAGGTACAGGCTTGTCCTTTGTAACTGACTTTTTAGTTCCAGGTCAGTCCCACCTTGTACAGAGCCTACTTCCCATGGCTTCCATGGTCCTGTTCATATACTCAGGTAGTTCTCTGTCTTCTCATAAGACTGCCCCATGAAAAGTCTGTAGGATTTAATGTGAACAGTTTAAATTTCTGTAATTCCTTGTAAAATGGAGTCAAGGATATGAACTTGATAGACTTCAAGGACAAAATAGGTTCAGGCAGTATAATGGCTAGTACTGTCAATTTGACAAAATCAAGAGTCCCTTGGGAGATGGGCCTTGCAGCATGCTTGTGAGGAATTATCTTGCTCTGAGGTAAGAAGACTCACCCTCTGGGTGGTGCCATTCCCAAGATAGGGGATCCTGAACTCTGTAATTAGGAAATAAAGCTGAGCACTCCCGTGAATTCATTGCTCTCTTTTGACTGTGAACATAAAATGACCAGCTGCTTCAATCTTGAAGGCTAGTAGGTAGCTTATAATAATGTGACACCAGCACCTGTTCCCCCCAAATCAAGTTCTATTCATAGCCATACTGACTCTCAAACTGTGAGGCAGAGTAGCCGAATGCTTGCCTAGCACCTAGGAGGTCATGGGTTCCAATACCAGCCACATAACCAAAATATAAGTAGCTGACTTGCTTCTTTGCCTTTCCTTCTAGACTTCAAGGTCCATTGAAATGCATTAACAAAAGCCTCAGGTTTGTCTCTAGCCTAGAGATTGATATGAAATAAGAGGCTGCTAACTGTGTGTGATATAGGAGTTAATGCTGGTATCTGGGAAAGATGAGAAGACCATGCCTTTTCCTTTTCTATCTCCTCCAACTTTAGCCAGGGACTGCAGAGAGTGCCCTCTGAACCTTCACTGAACGTACTTGAATGTGGCCATGAAAGACTGAAAGTGGCTTCCAGGTTGGTCTCCTGAGTAAAACAGCCCAGAGTACCTGAAACTTGTTAACTAATATACACAGCAGATGATAGTGAGCTAGTGAGTTTCTTTCCGTGTCTGTGTGCTTCAAGAAAACTTAGCCACTTCATGGAAACGACAAAGAAGAAGAGCCTTGAGAGCCTTGAATGAGATTTCAGGAGTTGAAGTGTGTTGTCCCAGTCTCTCTAAACAAATCTCTGGGGCAACAACTGTCTGTGTGTGTGTGTGTGTGTGTGTGTGTGTGTGTGTGTGTGTGTGTGTGTGTGTGTAACACATAAGTACATTTTGTAAATGTTACAGCTCTGGGCTGCAAGGCTTCTCCAATGCAAGTGTTACAACTCTGCTCTGGTGACAGAGTGGAGGTGTTCCCCAGTGCAAGTGTTACTTCCCTGAAGGGCATGTATCAGAAGCTGAGTACCACAGAGTCAAACCACATAACAAACTTCACAAACGAGATTTATTGGGAGGGTGGCTACTTCTGTTCAGGCATGAAATAGCAGAGAAAGGAACAGAAGACATGTGTTATATATAGACTTTCTTGGAATGGGTGGTAGTGGTGACTTTCTCAGGTATCCTGGGATTGTAGGGAGTATATGGCCTGATCTTGGGGCAAGCTCAGGGACTGATGGGATTCTGTGACCTGATCTTGAAACTCATGGATTAGTGATTTTGCTTTTGATTTTGTTTTCTTGGCCCTGGTCTCTTGCTTGGGGTCAATCCAGGGGCAGTATGTTCTTTACTTTTTTTTTTCCCTAGTCTTGTGGTCAAGTCAGGGTCAGGGTGTCCTTTTCATTGACCCTGGTCTCAGGGTCAAGTCAGGGTGCTCTTTCTTGGCCCTTTTAACCAATGGCATACATACCATTTCCACTCTTCTTCCCCTCCAACTCCTTCCTCCCTTTCCCCTGTCCTGCTCACTCTTAGATCCATCACCTCTTCTTCTGTAATTACAGCAGTGTGTGTGTGTGTGTGTGTGTGTGTGTGTGTGTGCTCCCACAAGTATTGCATACACAACCTTCTGTGGCCGCATTTATCTTAGTATTGCTCCTATGCACATGTGTTTAGAGATGACCACTTAGATTAGATATGTTGCCTTTATGCAGATCTTGTTAACTCATCCATATTGTTGAGATTTCATGATTGCATACTTGCTGCAATTTAAACACCGTAACCATTCACATCTTTTGTATAAGTTGATGTACAGATTTTAAAAATAAGGACATTCTGGTATTAGCTGAAGGCACCAGATATTCTGATGTATGTATTTTTTTTTCGTTAGTTTTTTTTAAATTTTAAATAGCTTGTTTTACATGTCAATCCCAGTTCCCTCTCCCTCCCCTCCTCCCGCACTCCCCTTCCACCCTCCCTCCCACCCTATTGCCACATACTTCCACATAGGGGATGTCTAGAGTCTATCATTTTACTCTTGGTAGGGTCAAGGCACTCCCCTAAGAGTCCAGGCTGAGAGAGCATCTCTCTTTGTGCTATAGGCACATGAAGACAGATTGTATACCAGGAATAGACACTGATCCACAGCTCAGAGCCCCATAGGTTGTCCAGGCCTTCTCACTGACACTCATATTTGGGGGGGTCCAGTACAGTCCCATTCTGGCCTCCCCACTGTCGGTCTGGGGTCCAAGAGCACTCCCCTGTTCAGATCAGCTGTCTCTGCTGGTTTTGCCAGCCCATTCTTTGCCAATTTGCTCATCATTCCTCTCTCTCTGTCACTGGTTTCCTTGGGTTCAGTTCAGTGCTTAGATGTGTGTTTGCCTCTGCTTCCATCAGTCCCAGGATGAAGGCTCCCGGATAGTTATAGACATCAAGTTCATTATCAGGAATGGGCATTCGAGGTGGTCCTTCCACTATTGCTTAGCTTGCCAATTGATGTTATACCTTTAGATCACTCGAGGTCACTCTGGTGCCTGATCTGTCTTCGATCCTATGATTCCCTCTTCCCCCTATTCTACCCCCACCCCCCTCAACTTCCTGTTCCCCCATGACCAACTCCTGATGTATGTATTTAAGGAAAGAGTTTTTAGCAGTTAATCTCTTAATTTTTAAGTGCACTTAAACATTTTTCCCTTGAAACATTGTCTCACCATGTAGTTCAGGCTGGCCTCAAACTTGAGATTGTCTCCCCTTACCCAGTGTACTGTCAAGCCCAGCCTTTGGTGTGTCTTTTCCTTAGAATTTAGAACTCCTGGAAGAAGACAAAGTAACTCTGCCAAGGACAATTAGGAAAGAAATGACACTGTTACATAGGCACAGAATCATTAGAGCTAGGAAAAACCTCAGAGACTACTCGTGTTGACATGAGAGGGATGTGCTGCACTCTTCTTGACATGGTAGAGATGCGCAGACTACAACAGCTTAGAGAACGTGTCCTTAGGTTCAGTCCCAGCTGCTTTGTTCACTGACCACATGGCCTTGAACACTTGGCTGAACCTTTCATATGATAAAGCCATCAGCAAAAAGACAGGACTGAGAGGCACCCTGCTGATTTTCCAAAGATGCTTTGTGAAGCTCAAACCCTTTGTTCTACTACTGGAATGTGACTTGTTTAAGGTCCTAAGGTACCATTAAAAATGAGGATTAGAATTGTTTCCTTCACCTGCTTGATTGTTTGTCCATCAGGGAAATGCAAATCCAAACAACTCTGAAATACCATCTTATATCTGTCAGAATGGCTAAAGTCAAAAGCTCCAATGACAGTTTATACTGGAGAGGATGTGGAGAAAGGGGAACACTCCTCTATTGTGCAGCCACCTTGGAAATCAGTATGGTGGTTTCTCGGGAAAATGGAAATCAGTCTACCTCAAGATCCAGCAATTCCACTCTTAGGCATATACCTAAAGGATGCACATTCATACGACAGGGGTGTCTGTTCAACTATGTTCATGGCAACATTTTTTGTAATATCCAGAACTTGAAAGCAACCTAGATGCCCCTCATCCAAAGAATAAAGAAAATGTGGTGCATTTACACAATGGAGTACTACTCAGTGGAAAAAACAAAACAAAACAATGAAATCTTGAAATTGCAGGCAAATGGATGGAACTAGTAGAAACCATCCTGAGTGAGGTAATTCAGACACAGAAAGAAAGATATGATATGTACTCACTCATAAGTGGATATTAGATATAGAGCAAAGGATAACCACCCTATAATCCACAACCCCAGATAAGCTAGAAAACAAGGAGGACCCTAAGAGAGACATGCATGGACCCCGGAAGAAGGGGAAAGGGACAAGATCTCCGGAGTAAATTGGGAGCACACAGGGAGGGGGAGGGAGGTAGAAGAAAGAGGATAGGAGAATGGGAGGGAGAGGAGAACATGAGGGATCAGGAAGGTGGAGTTGGGGGAAGAAAAGAGAAGGAGAGCAAGAAAAGAGATATCTTAATAGAGGGAGCCATTATGGGTTTAATGAGAAATCTCACACTAGGGAAATCTCCATGGATCCACAAGGATGACCCCAACCAAGAATTTTAGCAATAGTGCAGAGGCTACCTTAAATGCCCTTCCCCTATAATGGATTGATGGCTACCTTAAATGACACTATAGAGCCTTTATCCAGTAACTGGTAGAAGCAGAAGCAGAGATTCACAGCTAAGCACTAAGCCACACTCCTGGAATCCAGTTACAACAAGGGAGGAATGATGAGCAAAGGGGGTCAAGATGAGGCTGGGAAACCCAAAGAAACAGCTGACCTGAACAAGTGGGAGCTCACAGACCCCAATCTGACAGTGGGCAACCAGCATAGGACCAAACCAGGCACCCTGAATGTGGAGGCTGGGCAGTCTATGGTGTCTCTGCAGTGGAACCAGTATTTATCCCTAGTGCACAAATGAATGTTGGGAACCCATTTCCTATGGAGGGATACTCTGTCAGTCTAGATACATGGGGGAGAGCGTAGGTCCTGCCCCAAATGATGTGACAGATTTATGATTCCCATGGAAGGCCTCACCCTCCCTGGGGGGTTGGATAGGGTCTAGTGGGGGGAGGGACAGGAGGATTTGAGGGAGAGAGAACTGGGACTGATATGTACAATAAGATTGTTTTGATTTAAATAAATATTGCCATGTAAAACAAGCTTG